TTTTCCCCCCCTCTAATCAGAGGTCCTGCCAACGCCCTTCCTGCATGCCCAGCGGTATGTGAGTGGCTACGGGCTGCAGAAGGGGGAGCTGAGTACGCTGCTGTACAATACCCACCCTTACCGGGCCTTCCCTGTGCTGCTACTGGACACCGTGCCCTGGTACCTGCGGCTGTATGTGCACACCCTCACCATCACCTCCAAGGGCAAGGAGAATAAACCAAGTGAGGAGCTAAGTCCCAGACCAGACCAGACCAGACCCCCACCCACTCCAGCTCCTTGTCCATCCAGGCCCTCCAGACTCACTTCCCAGAGTCATTCCCGAAGTGCACCTGAAGGTCTGCACAGGCATTCAGAGTTAGGAAGTTTGAAAAAATGGAGGCAGGGTACCTCCCTGTGTTAGAGGCAGGAGCAATTTATAAAGAAAAGCAGTTAAAACACATGCTGTGGATGGCTCCTCATAGAACATTACAAGGACAGCAGCTTCACCACCTTCACTTTCTCCTCCGTTGGCCAGTGGACACATCCTTGTGTTTCACAATGATCCAATAGACTTAAGACAGAGATGGGGTCGGGCAGAGGAACAGGTTGTTTCCACCCCCAAGAAAGTGTCAGAGCTGGGCTAGGTGCTCTTTTCTCTTCTTAGTAAGGTGAAGAGGAACAGTTTTGAAAATGTTTTTATTTTCTATTAATTAATTTATTTTGAGATGGGAATCTCACTATGTAGCTCTCGCTGTTCTAGAACTCCCTATGTAGACCAGGCTGACCTCAAACTCAAAAATACCTGCCTGCCTCTGCCTCTTGAGTGCTGGGATTAAAGGCCTGTACTGCCATGCCCCACTGTCTATTTTTCTAAGGTGTGCTAGTGATTGCTGGATGAGCTCTACTGGGTCATAGCACTCAGGCTTAGCTTTCTTTGGTGTTAGGGGGAGACTGATGATGAAGAAAGAGACTTCAGAAAGAGACAGTGTCAATCCCAGCAGCTAAACTGAAAAATCTTTCTTAAAAAAATTATTTTTGCCGGGCATGGTGGTGCACGCCTTTAATCCCAGCACTTGGGAGGCAGAGGCAGGTGGATCTCTGTGAGTTCAAGGCCAGCCTGGTCTACATAGTGAGTTCCAGGACAGCTGGGGCTACAGGGAGACCCTGTCTCAAAAATACCAAAAAAAAAAAATATTTTCATTTTATATATATGAGTGTATTGTCTATATATGTGTAAATGCACCTGTGTCATGCATTGCCCAAGGAGGTCAGAAAAGGGAGTTGGATCCCCTGGAACTGGAGTTATGGACGGTTGTTAGCCACTGTGTAAGTGCCGGGAATAGAACCCAGGTCCTCTGCAAGGGCAGCCAGGGCTCTTAACCACTGAGCCATTTCCCCAGTCCCAAAACTGAAAAATCTTTAAGTGTATCTGTTTCCCGTATTTTCAGTGGTTAATAGTTTCATTTTCAGCAGTGTTCTTTGTGCCACCTTCAAAACCTGTATTCACACATCCTCCTAGACATTCTATATGTTCTGGGGAGTTTTGTATCTTTTTGTTGTTGTACTAAGGGGGATTGAACCTAGGACTTGCTAGATAAGTGCTGTATCATTAAACTATATCCACCGCCCTCCTGTTTTGTTGACAGGGTCTCAGACAGCTCAGACTAGCCTTGAGCTTCGCTCCTCCCAGTTCCCAACCCTCTTTACTTTTTGTCCCTTTATTTTTGGAGACAGGGTCTTATACCAGGCTGGCAGTGTACTCACTGTATAGCCAATTGTTGGCCTCCAGCTCCCAGCAGTCCTCTTCCCTCAGCCATCCAAGCCCTGAGATTAGGGGTGTTGTCTATTACACCCTGCTTCTTATTTTTTAATTTGGAGTCAGGAGCTGGCCTTGAACTTGTGATCTCTCCTCCTGCCTCAGCGTGCCCCATAGCTGGGATCATAGAGCTTTTCTACCAGTCTCAGCTGTGTTTTATCTTTTACTCTAGAAAATGTTGAACACACCAGACACAGCTGGGTTCCATCTGCTCATCACATGCCTTGTGTAGTTCCCAGCTTTCTAGAATTTCTGTTTGTCTCTCTTCACTTTTAGGTAGGTTTGGTCAGTTTTTTCTTTTTCTTGAGTAAATTTTAGACACTATATCAGTTCAACTTTACATATGTCAGAATATATTCCTAATGGGAAAAAAATCTGAAAGCAACCTTACCATTATCACTTATTTTATCCATTTGTTTATTTGGGGTTAGTGTAGCACGACGGTCTTCACTCCGACATCTTTCTGTTATTCTTTCTGTCTCCCAGGGTCTTAAAAAAGCCTTTAGTAATTGGTTAGACTAGGGACCTAACAGGTCCTTACATTGCATATGCTTGCTAGATCTCTTAAGTATCTCTCTTCTTTAAGTAATAAGCTTTGTTTTCTAGAGTTCTTTTAGGTTTACAGAAAAATTAAGCAGAAAGTCCAGAGCTCTTATGTCCTTCCTCTTCTCTACTCATTACCGTTCTTATTTATCTGTTGTATTTTATGCGTTACACTTCTCTTTCTCCCTCTGTTTCTTTATGGTACTGGGGATTAGACATGTTCAGCAAGTGCTATATCACTGAGCTATATCCTCAGCCCCCCTTTTTTTAAATAACAATTTTGGGGTGGGGTGGTGGAACTAGAGAGATGGCTCAGCAGGAGTACTTTCTACTCTGCCAGAGGACCTGAGTTCAGTTCCCAGCACCCATGTGGGCAGCTCATAACTACCTATAACTCCAGCTTCAAGGGGTCAGGCACCAGCACCCAAATGCATGTGTCCACATACAGATATGTACACATACACTTTTTTTTCCTAGTCTTTTTTGAGACAGTGTCTCTCAGTGGCCTGGAACTCACTACATAGACCAGGCTGGCTTTGAACTCACAGAGATCTGCCTGCCTCTGCCTCCCGAGTGCGTGTGTGTGTGTGTGTGTGTATGTAATATGAACTACTTAAATAATAATGGTGCTGGGGTCTGACCCCAGAACCTCACCCTGGGCAAGTGTTCTACCAATCTCTATAGTAGTTCATCTGTTTTTTTGTTTTGTTTTGTTTTTGTTAGCTTCAAAGTAGCAGGTTTTCCTATGGCTTTCTCATATGTTCTTGTTTGTTTAAGCGCTATCTGTTGATAAAACTGGGTCATCTGTTGTATAATTGGTTGTATGGAATGTTCTACTTGCTGGATTTGTCCTTGTGCTGCTGTTTAATATGTCCCTCCATCCCCTGCATTTTTTGTGAATTTGTGGTTAGATTTAGAAACTTGATAAGATTTGTGTCCTATATTTTTGGCAAGAATTCCCAAACGGCTGTGAGCCTTCTCTTCTACCACATCAGGCATGGTGTCTGGTGCCCCAGTTTTAATTTTTGTATTACATTTTTATTTATGGAAGGGGTGTGTGTGCGGGCTCATGAGGAGGTCAGAGGATAGCCCTCAGTGCTGGTTCTCTCCTTCCACCAAGGGGGTACTAGGGATCGAACTGAGTTAGTTGGGCTTGGCAGTAGGTGTCTTACCTCCTGAGCTATCTCACCTCAAGGTGCCCTAGTTCTGGTGATGTGAAGATTGATAGCAATCTGCAGCATCCTTGACAGCCTCTCTCACTGTGTCCTGGGATTGCTGCCTGGAAACACGCCCTTCCTTTTCTGAGAACCTGCTTCCTTGTACACATCCAGATTATGGCTCCAAGGCAGGTCGGAGGAGGTGTAGGCAGTCTGAGCCTAGGAACAACGTCTAGGTAACTCTTGCCTGTATCCAGGTTACATCCACTACCAGCCTGCCCAGGACCGACAGCAGCCCCACCTCCTAGAGATGCTGATTCAGCTGCCTGCCAACTCAGTCACCAAGGTCTCCATCCAGTTTGAACGTGCGCTGCTCAAGTGGACCGAGTACACCCCAGACCCCAACCATGGCTTCTATGTCAGGTGGGATACACCCCAACAGACTCCTCCTGTGCTCCCCCACCCTCCTTTTTACCTCTTACCTCTTGGTGGGAAGAGCCAGCAAGGAATGTGGGCCATCTGTTTGCTTCTCTGCAGCCCATCTGTCCTCAGTGCCCTTGTGCCCAGTGTGGTGGCAGCCAAACCAGTGGACTGGGAAGGGAACCCTCTCTTCAACACCTTGTAAGTGTGAGACACTATTCTGGTGTTACATCCTCTGCTGCCTGCTGGGCATTATGGTTGATCGGGCTTCTACAGGGTAGGTGGGTGGGGATGTTACCTCTTCCAAAGTCTAATGTAGATTCACTCCAATCCCAGTAAAAATCCATGAAATTGGTAAAGATTTACATAAAGGGGTTCTAGAAAGATACAACGGTGAGATAACAGTTCAAGCCTACATCTCCCCACTGAACTTAAGGACCATTAGTGGAACACTTAGCAATTGTCAAGTACTTAAAATGTTCCCCTGTGCTCATAGTCCAAAGGGGAGATTGTTCTAGTGAGAAATGGTGGTCATGGTGGTGGTTGTGGTGGTTGTGGTGGTCTTGGTGGTGGTCGTGGTGGTAAGTCATGGTTTATTTAGGTTTGTTTGAGGAGGGCCCTTTAGCCCAAGTCCAGACTGAGGAAGACAGTAGGCAAGGCAAGCCCTTCCCTTCAATACCAGCTGCTTTCCTGACCAGGCATGTGTATGTATCAAGCCTTCCTGTAAGGTGCTTTCCTTGAGAGGTTTCCAGATCAGCAGAAGTCTGAAAGCCCTTGCTGTTTAGCCCTATCCCAGTGTATCTGCTTAGCAAGATTGGGTGAAATGGGGAGAAGCAGCTGTCTCATCTCACTCTCCTTCCCCACCCTTAGGTTTCCAGTGTCTGATGGCTCCAGCTACTTCGTGCGACTCTACACAGAGCCATTGCTAGTGAACCTGCCTACACCAGACTTCAGCATGCCCTATAACGTGATCTGCCTTACGTGCACTGTGGTGGCTGTGTGCTATGGCTCCTTCTACAATCTCCTCACCAGAACCTTCCACATCGAGGAGCCCAGCACTGGCGGCCTGGCCAAGCGGCTCGCTAACCTCATCCGGCGTGCCCGTGGTGTCCCCCCACTTTGAGACACCCCCTCTTCAGCAGCTGTACTTTCTCCCTGGGAAAGGGAGCAGGGGCAAAGCTCTTTCTGCAACTTGTTCTGTCTCCAGAGTGGCTTTTGAAGCAGACTTCCTTCGGCCTAGTCAGGCCCAGAGGTGCGCTGTCCAGTACGGTAGCCATGAGCCAAGTTTAAGTTAACTTAGAATTTCACTTTTTAAGCTGGAGCCTCACTTCAGGTACTCAGTAACCAAAAGGGTTAGAGCTACAGTACTGGACAGCCCAGAGTGACATTTCTCATCATTGCTGGAAGTGCTTGGACAGCACTGGCCCAGGTAGCAGGGTGCTGAAGAGCTTGTGTTACTGTGTGGTGAGTGGAACTTACTGGCTGTGGAATAAAAACCACCTTCCTGGGTTCTGCTTCTTGTCCTTGAGGCCTGGGAAGTATTCAGGGCTAAAGTTTGCATGCTGAGTGCTCCTCCCATCCCTACCACAAATTCCTTCTCATCTCTTCTTCTCCCTACGCCCCACTATAATTGGAATTCCCAGAACTCCCTGAGTTTGGCTGGATGTGTTTCTGTAAGCATAATCTTTGACCATGAAAGTGAATCCTCCTGCCTTTGTGAAGCTCTGGGAACCAGTCCCAGCACCACCAGTGGAGGTGGGAGGGTCTCTAACTGCAGGGTCCAAATAGCTTCAGCTCACTGTGGTGCTTGGGAATGTTTAGTTGGTTCCTCAGAGCTCTTGTTATGGACTACCCACAGGCTTTGAAGCCAGGCCATTGGCTCCGAGCCCACCCCAGCCCACCTCCCATTGTTAGATAACACCAGGTTCCTGTAGAGCAGATCCTTAGGCAATGAATTCCCCACTGCCTTCTGCCCTTTACTCTGGTATACTTGGCCTCAGCTGTGTGACATAACTTGTGGTCCTCCTCCCACCTCACCCCCAGTTCTCCCAGCATGACAGTTTGGCCAAGAATGTCCTTTTCACCAGTAGTATACTCTGTAATTGTGTGGTTCACTTTCTTTCAAAACCAGATGAGACATTGCTTCCTCCTGGATTCTGATCTAGGATATGGGATCCCGGGTGGGAATGGGGTGAGGGCACCCACAAGGTTCACAGATGTAAGCAAAGTGCTGTTACCCCAGTAATACTGGGGTCTGTAGAGCCAGCAGGGATGGGCTGTTTGGGTCTCTTCAGAGTGTTTCACCAGCCGGGTGCAGGAATGGGAAGGAAAATGGTAGACTGGCCTAGCCCTTGGGCAAAAGCGACACGGACAAGATGCTTTTCCTTGAGTTTCTCTACAGGTGGGAAATATGCAGACTGAAGGGGAGGTGAATGAAGTTGGGCCAGGGGCAATGGCACATGCCTGTCATTCAGGCTGAGGCTAAAGAACTGTGAATTAAGGGACAGCTTGGGCTATATTGTTAGACCCTTCGAAAAGAAAAAGAAATGCAGGCAGGTGGCCCTCAAGCCAAGTGGTCTCAGTAGCCTGCATGGTGTGGGCTGTGCCCAGTCAGAAGAGCATGAAATCTGCCTGACTTATCTCCCCAAGTAAGCTAGCAGTAACCTGACTGCCACCACCTGTGTCTAACATCTCCGAACAGCTTCTCGTGCTCTCCCTCCCCGTCCACAGTGGCACTCATCTTTCCATTTGTCCAGGACCCTTTGAGTCGCCCTTGAGCCTTCTCTCCCACACCATGTGTACCTTCCAAACAAATCCAGAATCTGATGATGTGTGTGTTTTGGGGGTGGGGGGAGGTTGGTCACACACATATTTCTATGCATGTGTGTATGCAGTTGCCTGTGGAGGCCAAAGTAAACCATACCTCAGGTGTTGCCCACATCCATTTCTGAGACAGGATCTCACCGGCTTGGAGCTGGCCAAGCAGGCTAGGCTGACTGGCCAGGGAGCCCCAGGGATCCACCTGCCTCTGCTTCCCCAGCGCTGGGATTAGACACCCATGCACACATATACACACACATACACCACAGCTGACTTTTTTTTTTAATATTTATTATTTTTATTTTATGTGTATGAGTGTATTGCCTGCATGTAGGTAAGTGCACCCGTGTCATGCAATGCCCTTGGAGGACAGAAGAGGCTGTTGAATCCCCTGGAACTGGAGTTACAGTTGTTAGCTGCCATGTGGGTGCTGGGATTCAAACCTGGGCCTTCTGCAAGAACGCCTAGTGTTCTTAACCGCTGAGCCATCTCTCCAGCCCCCAAAGCTGACTTTTTTTACACATGTTCTAAGGATTGAACTCATCCTCACATGGCAAGCACTTTACCAGCCAAGCTGTGGAGAACAGAAGAGGCTGTCAGATCCCCTGGAACTGGAGTTACAGTTGTTAGCTGCCATGTGGGTGCTGGGATTCAAACCTGGGCCTTCTGCAAGAACGCCTAGTGTTCTTAACCGCTGAGCCATCTCTCCAGCCCCCAAAGCTGACTTTTTTTACACATGTTCTAAGGATTGAACTCATCCTCACATGGCAAGCACTTTACCAGCCAAGCTGCCTCCCCAGCCCTTCTGTTTCACCTCCTTTATCTCCATTCAAGTTTTCAAGGGTCCTTCCTGGTCTCACCTGGGTTCTAGTTGCTTTTCTCCTCCTAAGCTTGTGTGTTTCCTGATTGTTTACTCATGGTTCTTGCCACCTTCTAGGTCCAGTGTAGCGTAGTTAACTTGATTATTCCCCTCAGAAATTCCGGCTCCCTGAAGACAAGGATTTTGGTCTTTTGTAACTGCAGGGGCTAGAGCGGTGGTGTCTGGTGCTGTTTGTGTTCTGACAGTTGAAGGGATGTGGATGGATGTACAAAGAGCACAGTGCTGTCGAACAAGTTGGCTAGCTGTCAGGTTCTGAACCTTGGCATTCCCACTGTGCCTGTGCTGGAACCATCTGATCTTTTATCCCCGGACTTGGGCAGAGAGCGTTTCCTTTATTCTCACTGAGGCTTCAGGTGTGGGCCTGGCTGTGGCTTTCAGCAGAGTTGGCATTAGGCAGTGGCAGCTGGGAAAGGACTTTAGAGATACTGAGTCATCCCCTCAGACCATACTAAAAATGGGGGGAGGTGGTGAGAGAAGGGAGTTTCTATTCCTGAGAGACCCCCCAGGGAGAGGAATGAGTAGAGGAGGGCCCCCAGAAATGAAGTTGCCTGTGGGGCCAGGCTCTCCTTCATCACTGCAACAGTGCCTTGCAGCCAGCTTGCACTCTGTTAGATGGACTCTTTGCATGTGCCAGGGCACTGTGTTAGGTACCTTGTGGACTACGGAGTAGAGGGGAGCCCTACCCTTCCTTCCAGCCCTCTGAAGCATTAGAATACAAGGCATGTTGGTAACAAGCCTAGAGCCCCTCTCACACACCTGTGTATGCCTTGGAGCGGAAAGAGCTGCCAGGCCAGGAGCAGGCAACAAGTAACCATACCTGCTACCTGAGTACACAGTTACCAGGTAACCGTGCTAAGCACTTTACATGTAACTGTCCTCACAACAGGCCCACGTGGTGTTCTAATATCTGTTAACAGATGAACCTAAGGGTTTAAGGACCCATAGCCGGTAAGAAATGGGATGGGCTGGGGCTGGAGAAATGGCTCAGTGGTTTAAGAGCACTGACTGCTCTTACAGAGGGCCTGGGTTTGATTCCCAGCACCCACATGGTGGCTAACAACTGTCCAAAACTCCAGTTCCAGGTGTTCTGATGCCCTCTAATGACCTCCGTGGTCACTGCACCACATGGGTGCGCTTACATACGTGCAGGCAATACACTCAAAGAAAATAATATTTTTAAGAAATGAGACAGGGATTAGAGCCCAGACATGCCTGATTCAACCTGTGCTCATACAGTAACCCTTCCAGGGAAAAGTGACCCAGTGTCTTCCCTAGGAGGAAGGCAGAAGCTGTAACGAGGATGGATGGGAATGTTCTGAGCTACAGTGCTCATCTTGTCAGAAGGCTTAGAGAGCTACAGTTTCCCTGAGAGCTTCAGGGACCCCTTGCTAGGTGTTCTTAGAAGGCTTATTGGGGCATAGCATAAGGCCCTTTCTCATACCCAACAACCAGGATCTGAAAGGGCCTGGCCCAAGCTCTTTCTCCCTACAGCAGGACAGGACGTAGGCACTGAAGCCTGGGTTGAGAGGCAGAGCTGCTACCTTGAGCAGGAAGTGCTGGGATGAGGGAGGAAGGGTGGAGCCGTCTCAGTTCCTCAGTTATCTCACACTTTCCAGTTTCCCTGCTTGCGCCTGTGCTCTTTCCTCTGGAGCCGCCCAGATTTTGTCCTCTCACAAAGCCTCTTCTGACCCTTCCCACTCCTTCAGTGGTCCCATCTACTGGGCTCGTGTAACCATGCAGCAGTCTTCATTCACTCACCCTCTGATCTGTCATGTTTGTCTGTTTCTCTCCATCCTTTGGTACAGTCAACAGGTATTTTATATAGCATTGGCCACATGCCAAGCACTGTGCTAGGCACTATGGACCCAGCAGCGAACCGCAAAGGCAACCTCCCACATGGTGCTTGTAGCTCAGCAAGGGAGGCAGATAATCAAGGCACAGGTGATATGATGGGATGCTTAAGGAGGAACAGGATCTGATTTTTGTTGGTTGTGTTTATACTTTTTATTTGATATGTAATGCACAACATTGGGTTATTTTTTTTTCCTCCAAGATACTTTCTGCCCATCACATGGTCCTCTTTTTGTTACTTACACATGAGTGTACATAGTCCAATATAGTAACCACCAGTGAACCTACCCGATCGAATTGAGTAACTGATGGGATTATAAATAATCACTCTGGCTGCTGTGTGGAGAACAACAGACTGTAAAGAGGTAAAAGTGGGCACCAGGAGGCCAGTGAGGTTAGGGTCAAGAAAAGGGCACTGGGTGGTAGCAGAGGTGGTGGTGAGATGATGGGGGTCCTGGTTAAGTTGGAGACAGAGATCACAAGACAGGTTTGCTAATCTGTGCAAGCATGGCCTAATTCTTCATTCAGTGCACTTGGTAAGTGCTTGCTGAATGTCAAGCCCTTTGGAAAAGATGCATTTGACAGTTATGCCCACTCTTCCTAGAGCCAGAGATGAGTCAATAAAAACCTCAAGACACCAGAATGAAGTGTTGTGGTCCATGAACCCACGTGCTCTTCTGGGAGAGAAGAATGGGATGGCTAGTTATGACTTAGCTCTTGTCCCATCTCTTAGATCAATCTGTGCTCCTTTATTGCTTTACTAATGTATGCGTTCCTGTCCATTTCAGCCTTTCAGCCTTTGATGAAGCCAGGGTCTAGTTTCCAGTCACTTTGCATTTCCATTGTAAGCCTAGGGCAGTGCTGGCCACTTAGTATGTTCTTCCTGATGTGATTTCATGGGATCTAGACTGATCTCTGGGAAACTAGATGGGATTCCAAGGCAACTGAAGTGTGTAACA